AGGGAAACACAAGGAAGCCTTCCAGGTGGCGGACTCAAAGTCAAAAGGACTCCTGTGCCTGGCTCTGGCCGAACCCATGTCGAGGCCCAAAGTGCAGAACGGAGTCAAGGTTCGGACTTCATAGAGGAGGCTAAGAGCTAACAGGAAAGCGTGAGAGAGGCTTTTGAGGGGGATAATTCATGGATTGAAAAAGAAAAACAAAACTGTTATTAACTAAACCCTAAAATGAATGGTTTTGAGAATGTTCTCTGCCAAAATGATGACTGCCTTTGTTGGTGTCAAGTGGTATAACCTTCATTCTACTTTGATCCTTGTGTTAGTCTGCGTAGACTAGAGAAACAAATTCATGGTGACTCATGTGTATAGGAAAGAGCTTTATATACAAGAGCAATTGAATATTGAGACAATGTCCCAGCCCAGTTCAGATCAAGTCCATCAGTCTGATATTAGCCCATATGTTCAATACGAATCTATACAGTTCTCTTCAGGCTCATGAAACACATGCAATGATGCCAAATGCAAGAAGATCACAGGACAGTGGGTGGGAAGTCTTGTGGATCCAGTCATGGCAGAGGCATCTCAGCACTGGCAGGAGTCTCTACATGGTTCCTTCAGCTCCCAGCCATCAATCAGTCTGTCTCCATCTAGATTGTCAACAAGGATGTCTCGCAGGGACTGAGCAGAGAGAGAATGTGTCTCTTGCCTCCAACGAGGAAATACAGGAGTTCCCAGAATCCTCAGGAGAAAGCCATGTCCACACAAAGGCCTATATCCTGATTGACAGGCTAGACTCCACCCTTACACTCTTATTACTGAAATCGACACCAGATTATGCAATTACTACAATCCTCTGAATTCTTTCTGCTCTGGCTTACCTCAATTTGTACACAGGTGTCTAGGAAAGGTGTTCATCAGGGCTGTATCCTTTCAGCATTCTTAGCCAACCTGTATGCTGAGCAAATAATCTGAGACACTGGACTATCTGAAGAACACAGCCTCAGAATTGTAGGAAGGCCTCTTGTTTAACAACGTTTCTTGCTGAAATAGAAGAGGACTTGAAGCACTTGTTAAAAATCAAAACTGCAGCCTTCAGTATGGACTACAACACAATGTAAAGAAAATGTAGATCCTCACAATTGGACACATAGGTAACATCAAGATAAACAGAGAAAAGGTTGATGTTGTCAAGGATATCTTTTGCTTGGGCCTACAATCAATGCTCATGAAAACAGCAGTCAAGAATTCAAATGATGTATTTCATTGAGCCAATTTGAAGAGTTCACTAAAGATATAGGTGCTATAGCAAAGTGTGGTGAAGAAATCAGCAGTGTTTGGCTATCAGAAAAATTGTGTCTGGGGTCTTAAAACAGACATCTAAGTGAGGCATCAGCAAAGCCCTATGGAAGAAGCATACCGGCCAGTGTAAGCAAATGATTATTAATAATAAAATCCATGATCAGAGGAGAAAACTGTATTAGAGCTTCAAATCTGAGCACCTGGTTTGCAGAAGGCTGTGGATGACAGTAAAAGGTCAAAATGTATTTAGACATCTTGCACATGAATTAAGTTTCCTTGAAGTAAACAAGCGGCCATCTAACTCAGAAGCAACAAAGCCCACATGGAACAACATATCAGCCTGTGTGATCACGAGGTGTCGAATGGATCACTGAAGACAAATGGGTGCATAAGCAAATGTGGCAAAGAAAGCTGATGGTGCCCGGCTATCAAAAAGTATAGCGTCTGGGGTCTTAAAGGCTTGAAGGTAATCAAGCGGCCATCAAGCTCAGAAGCAACAAAGCCCACATGGAAGAAGCACACCAACCTATGCAACCACGAGGTGTCAAAGGGATCAGGTATAAGGCATCATCAGAACAAAAAAATCTTACCATAGTGAATGATGGGGAGAGTGCGGAGTGGAGATCCAAAGCCCATTAGTAGGCCACTGGAGATCCCCTTGCAGAGGGGTCTCGGGGAGGAGACGAGCCAGTCAGGGTGCAATGTAACAACGATGAAAAATACAACTTTCCTCTAGTTCCTAAATGTTTCCTCCCTGTTCCAACTACCATGACTCGAATTCGACCTTGCAAGTCTGGCTAGACCAGAGGATGTACACTGGTGCAGATAGGAACTGAAAATCCAGGGAATCCAGGGCACATGAGCCCTACAGGACCAGTGGTGTGAGTGCTAGGGTGGAGGGAGAGTGGGTAGGAAAGAGGGAACCGATTACAAGGAACTATATGTGACCTCCTCCCTGGGGGACCGACAACAGAAAAGTGGATGAAGGGAGATGTCGGACAGGGCAAGATATGACAAAATAACAACTTATAAACTATCAAGGGCTCATGAGGGAGGGGGGAGCGGTGAGGGAGGGGAAAAATGAGGACCTAATGCCGGGGGTTTAAGTGGAGAGAAAATGTTTTGAGAATGATGTACAAATGCGCTTTACACAATTGATGTGTGTATGGATTGCGATAACAGTTGTATGAGCCCCTAATAAAATGTTTAAAAAAAAAAGAATTAAGTTTCTACTTAATTAAATTCTCTCTGCCCATTGATCAAGGATGCAAATAGCCTTATCCTCAGACATTGGGAAATGGGTTACTGTAGATATAGTTAGGTTAAAAGGCAATGCCTTACCATTTGTCTTCCCTTTTGACCCATTTTCAGCTTGTTCTAGTTTTTATTATTTTCTGCTTCCTTCTGGATTGAGTTTTTTGTGTGCTTTCTTTTGTTGTTGGGGTCTTTTAGTCTGATTTTCTTTGTAGCAAGTTCATAATTGGTAAATTGATAGAGACAGTAAGTAGAGTAATAGGTTCTTAGGGATATGGCGGGCATATCGGGGAAATGTTAGATGCCATTGAGTCAGCTCAAACTCAGCAGCCCTGTGTATGACAGAATGAAACACTGCGGGGCCCTGTCCTGCGCCATCCTCACAATTACTACTATGTTCGAGCACATCCCTGCAGCTATCGTGTCAATCCATCCCCTCCAGGATCTGCCTCTTTTTTGCTCTCCCTCTACCAAGCATGGTGTTCTTTTCCAGGGACTAGCCTCTCCTGACAACATGCCCCCCAAACATGAAACGGAGTCTCACTATCCTCACCTCTAAGGCGCATGCTGGCTATACTTCTTCCAAGACAGACGTTTGTTCCCTTGGCAGTCCAGGGTACTTTCAATATTGTTCACCAGCCTCAGACTCAAATGCATCAGTTCTTCTTTGGTCTTCCTTATTGAATAAGTTTCACACGCACAGAAGGTAATTGAAAATACCATGGCTTGGCTCAGATGCATCTCAGTGCTCAAAGGAACATCCTTGCTTGTCAACACTTTCAGGAAGTCTTGTTCAGCAGATTTACCAATGAAATGTATCATTTGATCTCTTGTCTGCGGAGCATTGGTAGTGGATCCAATAGGGGAAATGAAACCAAACTCACTGCCATCCATTCAGACTCATAATGACTCTGTAGGACAGGGTAGAACTTCCCCATGGGTTTCTGAGATCAAAGCTGTTTAGAAGAGCAGAAAGCCTCCCCTTTCTCCGCATGGAGAGCTGGTGATTTTGAACTGCTGACCTTGTGGTTAGCAGTCCAAGGTGTTTTGATTGTAGTGATAACTGCTCAACTCTTTTTAATATCTTTAAGCCACTGACTTGTATGGTATGTGAATTATGTCAATCAAACTGTTAAAAAAAAAAACACCCCAAACCCTATGGAGTGCCTTTGTAGGGTCCTGTGAGCCTGAATCAACTTGGCAGCAACAGGTTTATCTATGTATCGAATCCCAAGTTTCCATCTTCACGCGTGGTGAATAGATTCGTTTTCTCTCCTTTCATTACTTCTACTCTTAGAAGTTTGTTGGATCTTCTTTGTACCCCGGGTTATTAAAATTACAGTTGTGGTGTGGGTCTTATTGTTTCCATTGTGCTGCGCAATTCCTCAGTCCTGAGGAAAATCTTGCAGTATTTCTTAGATAACGAATGCCCTCATCTCTTTTTCTAGTCTCTCTGTTTAGGTCCTGAATCAATCTTCTGATTTTTGTACATTTTCCATCATTTGTTGTACTTTACTGTGTTACACTTTTTGAAACATTTCCTCAAATCTATTTTCTAATCCTTGTCTTGACATTTTATTTGTGGTAAACTTTATTTTAAATTCAAAAGTACTCTCTTTTGTTCTTAATGTTCCTTTCTCAAAAATAGCATTTTGTTCTTGCCTTGTGATTGGAATAAGTTCCCTTATTTCTTTCAGCATATTAATTATATCGATTACAGTTTTGTTTTTAAAGTTTCCTTTTGCTGCCTGTACAGTTTATTTCCTCCATGTTTTTTTCCTCCCCTATATATTTGTTCTGGTCTCGGACTTTCATCTCCGAATTTTCCTTTAAATTTTTATTGATTTGTGGCCATCTGTTCATCTCTGTGTCTTTTTGGGGTGCTAAAAGCTGACTGAAAGCGCCCTCTGAAGAGGTTCATTGACTGCTGTGCCTCACTGGAAGATGTTCCGGTAGAGGTTTGGGCTCTCTCTTTGGAAGAGGATCACCCCTAATAGCCTTTGGATCTCTTTGGAGACCATTCCGTTTTTCCGGAAAGACTCTTCTAATCCCTTGCTTGTTGGGAAGTATCTAGGATGCCATTTGGGGGCACCCAGTCAGGAAAGGGGGGGTTATGTAGTAAGTGCTACAGGGAGCCCCTGGGTGGTGCCAATGGCTCACACACTGGAGCACAGTCTGTCTGACACCGAAGTCAGAGTCGAGTTGATGGCAATTGGTTAAGTGCCAGAATGTACACTTTAGACTTTAGACCTGCTCATGGCTATAGTGTTTATCTTTTTCTTTATTAAAGTTGGACACCACAGTCTTTGAAACAGTTTTTCTTTTTAAATGATCATGTATTAACTACAGTAGCCCATCGTAATTCTGTGTATAGCATGATTAAGAGCTCAGTCTATGATTATATTTAATTATTTCACGGTAGCAATTTATACTTTGTTCTTAATTTGCAGCTTTTTTCAAAGAGGAAACCTCCAAGGGGGCTGTATGTTTATGGAGATGTTGGTAAGTGTGTTAAACTAAGTTCTAAGTGGGCCAAACAGAGGTGCTCCAGACGTCTCCAGTGATAGACCATCCATCTCAATCCCTCAGCCCCATGCTTCACAGTGCGTCAAGCTGGGCTGTCTAGAAAAACAAAACCAGCGACACTCCTATACGTCAAAGAAAGAACGTTATACCCAGAAAGCATCCCAGCCCCGTCCAACGCACACGCACGATTCCGATACTAGCTAGGGCCCCCTTCATGCTCACGTAGCTGCGGGCCAATGGCCAAGAAAGGCAAATCAGGAAGCATGGACATGACAGGCCCTGAGTGCAGAGCCTCGCCGAGCCAAGGTCAGTGGGAACAGGGGAGGGTGCCCGCAGCTCCCAGGGTGGCTCTCTGGGTTAATGGCCCTCATGGGGCCATCCCTGGAGGCAAACACAGAGTCCCAGCATGGATGAAGACAAAGGGAAAGAGAGGGAAGTTCCCAGCGGCCGCCTTATTAACAGGCCACACCTCCAAGGAGGCATCCTCACTGATAGGTTGGACTCCCCTCGCGTGTTCACATGAAATCTAACAGCCACACCAGGGAAAGGATGAGGCGGGGCAAAGTGGATGGGTGTGGTGAAGAGAAGAAGGGGGTGAGGCTGGCAGAGTTCTCTCTGGCGACGCTTCTAGGAGGTGAGTAGGCAGGATTAGTTAGCATAGGAGGGCACAAACATGATTTTACTAAGTAAACTGGTCACAGAGAAGAAAATCATCCCTAGGTAGGTTGTTAGAAAATTAGAATCTCATTACTCAGTGCTAATTGACCAGCTGAATACTTTCCAAGAAATTAGCTGTTCTTTTTTACTTTGAATTTCTATTTTTAAAATTCATAATATGAGCACTTATCCTCAAGGCAGAGCTTAACTTTTTTTTTTGCGGGGGGCTGGGGGGTTCTTTATTTTTAAAAAGTCATTTGATTGGGGGCTTTTACAGCTCTTATAACATTCCATACATCAATTGTATCAAGCATATTTGTACATATGTTGCCATCATCATTTCCAAAACATTTTCTACTTGAG